CACACAATAAGTATGTCAATCGATTTCAAGTTTTTTTTAAGGCACAGCACTTTAAAACATCTGCAGTTTAAAATACAATTAAAAGAGAATGAAATTCAATTATATGGTTAAAATACAAGTAAAATTAAAACTCTATAAATCAATTAAAATCATAGTTTTAGAAGAGGTAGCCATGTTAGTCTGTACAGGCATATCAGGCAAAATCCGAAAGGACACAAGGGAACAAAAAAACCTATGTGGCATTTTAAAGATTAATTATTATATTTTAATGTGAGCTTTCTTGGATCAAGTCCACTTCTTCAGACATGGAATAAAATAAAATACAGAATTCACACAAAAAAAAAATTACTTGGCTTTAAGAGTTTTGGGCATATGGTTACATCTCATGTGTAGTAATTCGTGATGTAATGCAGTAATACCATGTTTGGTATTCAGTAGTATAATTTAACTTGAAAGAATGAAAACCAGCACACTACTGGGTTCTTGTACACCTGTAATTCTCAAAGGCATACTTAAATAAAAAGGTCTTTGCTGCTGCTGGAAGAAGAATAAGGTAAAGGTAAAGGTTCCTCTTGACATTTAGTCCATGCTTGTCCAACTCTAGAGGGCGGTGCTCATCCCCGTCTCCAAGCCATAGAGCCAGCATTAGCCCGTAGACAGTTTCTGTGGTCACGTGGCCAGCGCGACTAGACATGGAACACCGTGACCTTAACTCTGAGGTGGTCCCTATTTATCGACTCGCATTTTTACATGCTTTCGAACTGCTAGGTTGGCAGGAGCTGGGACAAGCGACAGGAGCGCACTCCGTCACATGGATTTGATCCTTCAACAGTTCACGGGAGCGCACTCCGTCACATGGATTTGATCTTTCAACAGCTCGTCTTCTGACCTTGCAGCACAGAGACTTCTGCGGTTTAACCCGCAGTGCCACCATGTCAGTAGGAAGAAGAATAGGGAAGGGGCAAATCTAGGCTCCCTTAGTAGGGAGTTCCAGAGCCTGGCCATGGCCACTGAGAAGGCCTACTCTCTAATCTCCAGCAGATGGGCCTCTGAAAGAGGTAAATGGTGAGAAGGGCCTTTCCCACAGATCTTAAAGCCCAGGAAGGTTTGTTTGGGAAGATACTGTACAGGGTTTCAGACTCTGGCCACTTACAGTGGGGTCTTGACTTAAGAACGACTTGAGTTAAGAACATTTTGACTTAAGAACCGCTCTCATAGGAAAATATTGACTTGACTTACATACTTAGATTTGAGTTAAGAACTGAAAAAAACCCACGTGGGAGGCAGGGAAAGTGCAAAATGTGAACTTTCAGTTAACTGTTGGCCAGTGAAAAGGGTGCCTGTCTGCTTCCTCACTCCTCCCAGCGTTTAGAGAGTGGATTGGGAGACAGTCTTCGAACTGCCTGGAACTTGTACTGCCTGGCCTGTCTTTTCCCTGCCTTCCCTGAACCTTTCTTGACCTAAGAAAAAAAGAAACAAAATATCCCCCTCTAGTGGGCGAAGGCGGAATAGCAGCTTCCCATTAGTTTCTATGGACGGAAAAGAGCAGATACGGATCAAATGGTTTTCAATGCATTCCTATGGGAAATGCAGATTAGACCTGAGAACTTTTTGACTTGAGAACCGCCTTCCAATATGGATTAAGTTCTCAAGTCAAGACCCCACTGTAGCTGCTCTCCAGGGAATCAAGAAGGGTTCTGTCCTTATCACTTACCACCCAGAGCTTGGAAACAGCACACTAGATTTTACTAGTTAGCACTAAAATGAACACTTTCCCATTAAACAAGAGGACTGCATCTAATCTTTTAAAAATAATGTTCCGCAAATAACTTAAAAACATTACTTCCAAAACTTTTTATTTTTAGGTGCATCAGCGAGCTTGTCCTACTTTCAATTCAAAATTGATGATGTTTAACATTGACACACTAAATCTAAGGTACTAAATCTTTCCGAATCATGCCGCTACCTAAAGTCCTTTTTAACAGCAGATTAGAATCATCACCATAATAAAAAAAAATGACAACTTTGAACTGAAAAGTTGGAAGGAACCTTCTCGGTCATCAAATGCAGCCCCCATCAGGGAGGAGCAGTGGGGAATTGAACTCCGAACCTCTGGCTCTGTAGCCAGAGACCTAAACCCCTGAACTATCCAGCAGCTCTTGATGTTGGGGTGTTTATGCAACACATGTGATCTACTGCTAACTTAAAGCTCCTTCCCTGCAGGACTCTTTCCTTAAAAAAAGTCCTACAGACAATATTTCCTCCCCCTTTACTGGAGCATAAACAAGTATAGCAGGAAACGGTATCTATGATAACATTTGCAAGAGTACCAACATATATTACCAAAGATAATATAACAGGTTTTTCTAACAGAGGAGGAAGTTTGGAACAATATGTTTTAAACACAGTGTACAGTTTCCGTACCTCCTGCTGTAGATAATCTACAATATGAGAATCATCTGTTTTCCCATCATAAGCCTGGAATGCTTGCAGCATTGGTTCATGCAAGTCAGTTTTTACCTGTAATAAAGAACAACAGTGCAGGTTTTAGCCCCGTAACTGCTAATGGAGATGATTGCGTTCACTCAGCAAAATGTAAGTGGACTGAAAAACAATTTAAAAGAAGAGTCAACTCAGGATATCTTCAAAGACATTTAAAGATGGGGCCACATAAAATGGGTTATGTGACTGTATGTGGCAAAAATGGGTGCCTCCATCCTAATGTGTATGATCCTGTATGTGGCAAAAATGGGTGCCTCCATTCTAATGTGTATGATCTTGTTGTGAGCTGCTTTGAGTCCCCTATGGGGAGAACCAACCAATCAATCAAATCAAATTCTGTAAGCCTGTAGGCAGGGCTTGATTTGCTTGCTATGGATCTTCTGTAAGAAACTTGGGAAAACATTTTGAGTAGCAATTGAGATTTAAAAAATTCTTTCAGTATAATCTTGATATTCAAAGCCTAGTGAGAAGCAATTAAGCGAAAATGGGTTGGGTGCCTCCATCCTAATGTGTATGATCTTGTTGTGAGCTGCCTTGAGTCCCCTATGGGGAGAAAGGCAGATTAATCAATCAATCAACCAACCAACCAATAAATCAAATTCTGTAAGCCTGTAGGCAGGACTTGATTTGCTTGCTGTGGATCTTCTGTAAGAGACTTGGGAAAACATTTTGACTAGCAATTGAGATAAAAAAAATTCTTTCAGTATATATCTTGATATTCAAAGCCTAGTGAGAAGCTATTAAGAATGTGCCCTTTGGATTTATTTGGGTCCAAATCCTAGAATTCTCCATTCTAGGATTCGGAATCCAAAAAATCCAAATAGCACATCACTAGCAGCCACTATGTGCTTAAGTTCCAGGAGCAAACAGAGGTGAGCCACATGATTTAGTCCCCTTGACTAGCTAGAGAGAGAGGAGGTCTTTGGACTGATCAGGTGTAAATAAGGTCCTTCTGGAGTCCTCTTACGTGCACCAGATATCTTGTATGCCAAGCTCTGACACAGGTGTGCATCAAAGAACCACACATACTTAGGCTCCAGATCTGGTACAAGCATTTATGTCCCCAGACCAGTCTTGACAGGGTTGGAATCCCTGCAGGTTAGTTTTCATCTCCTGCATCGTTGGTTCACAGTAGCTACGGATGTTTTTACCTACCTTTTCCCTGTAAATAAATCCAAGCACAAAGGCTGCCACTTCCGCGATGAAGATCGCCAAAATAATGACCAGGAACTGATGCAAGAAGAGACAGAAAAGGTTAATGGATATTCTGGCATCTGCCAGTTAAAGAATGGCGAGAGCTAAACTAGAGATGTGGGTTAGAATCTTTCCCTTTGCCGTTGTCCAGCATTGCAGGAGGGAGAGCTTGAGAAGAACAATCCCAACAACTGCTCTGAAGTCCAGAAAATTGCAGGCCAGGCTCTCAGCTTCCAAAATAGGGGTTGGCAACCTCAAAACGGTCTGGAGGCCATTTTCCATGTTCACTGGGAGCCATACCAACCGTTTCTGGAGAAACTGGAATTGACCAGAACACTTACAGTTTCTTTTTAAAAAGGAATATGAAGGGGACACCTTCTTTCAGAGAAGAATCACAGTGCCTGGAGGATTTATCAGCCAAAATCCTATTGTGTAAATTTATACTGGCACATGCTGATTACATCATCATTTTTAACACATTAAAAGTTTCTTATTCTGCCCCCACAGGTTCTGAGGCTCCCTTTCTGATCAGAGGGAGAGAGCCTCGGGATAGGGGAAGCCTTTAATGCTTGCCTATAGTCCCAGTCCTGGTGGCTATTTTCATGCATTCGTATCTTCTTACCTGCCCATCCCAAAGCGTTCTCAGGTCAAAAAGAACTGCAAGGGAGCCTTGGAACTGGGGAACAAGGGGTGGGATGGGAAACTTTTAATGAGTGAATAAAGCCTGTGGCTGATGACGTCATCAACTTGTGTGGGCACAAATGTACACAACAGGATTTAGTACATTGTATTGTACTGCACTGTACAATGGAGGCTCCAGGGCATGGATTGCATGTGGACTATATCTCAATGGGTCGAGTGGAATAGAGAAGTTGCAAAGTCCATTTCAGAGAAAGGAGCAAACCAGCTTAATCTCATGTTCCATTTCTGAAGGAGAAATAAATGGTGCATTTCACACCAATTCTCCTAACTCAAAACATAGTTCTCTGAAATCTTACTGATTTTAATGGAGTTTACTTTCCAGGCAAAACACACACTTAAGAGATTTCAGCCTTACATCAATTTGAAGTGAAACTTTATAGGTAAAAAGTGCATTTACTTGAACCAAACCCAAGGATCTTACAAAGGGGAAATGCTTAGAGTATTAATACTCTGGGAATAAGACTGCTTGTTACTTCTGGCATGATTACATTCCTACAGAATGCTTCTCCAACAATATATACAAACACTTACCACTCCCAATCCAACCTTGGATTCCCGGATGGTGGCACAGCAGCCGACCAGCCCGATTATGAACATCACCACTGCAACACAAATGATGATAAGGGCTGGCAAGAGAGCATATTTGTCTTGAAGGAAGGGATCATACGCCTTGTATGAGTTGAGGACATATCCACCAACATACGCGAGTCCAGCTCCTGCACCCTTAAAAACAAAATTTCAGATATTTGTTTCAAGATTGCTTCAAAAAAGACTTTATGCTGTGAATCTAATTGATTCCTTCTAATACAAAGTACTTCTATGTACAGTGGTGCCTCGCTTGATTAAGATAATCTGTTCCAGCAAAATCGCTGTAGAACGAAACTGTCATCAAGAAAAAGTAAAAATCCCATTGAAATGCATTGAAAACCGGTTCAATGCATTCCAATGGGTGAAATACCTCAGCATCCGGCAAAGATCCTCCAGAGGGCAGCCATTTTCAGTGCCTGTAAAGTGAGGAATCCGTCCTAAAACACAGCGGAGGAGCCATTTTACACAGCGGGCGGCCATTTTGAAAGCCCGACGATCAGCTGTTTTGATCGTCACTAAGCGAAGAATCGGTTCCCAAAGCAGGGAACTGATCATTGTGAAGCAATTTTTCCCTATTATAACATCATTTTGCGATCGCTTTTGCGTTAAATCGTTAAGTGATTTCCTCGTCTAACGAGGTAATCGTCAAGCGGGGCACCACTGTACATCTAAGTACAGTACTTGGCTCTGTTTCCATATTGCTGCCTGCCACGCCTCCAGGCAGTGCAGAGTATCCAAAGGATATGATATAGCTTTGCATTGAAAGGGCAGTCAATCCCATTAACTTTACAAAAGATCCAGCAGAGCTGAATTAAGCCAGAATTGATCTGTCCATTGTTAGCTTTGATTACAACAGGAACAGGAAGAGTGTTGTTGACACCATTCCACTTCTTGGATTGGGAAGCTGTCTTAAGAACACGGTGCTTACCCAACACTGGATCCCTTCCTAAGGAAGAGACTACTACAGAGTTACATTATTGATGTTTTTAAATAGCTGTATTTGAAAATAGCCATAATAATTGTCAAAAATTAAAGTTCAGCGTAGTTTGAGGCACACAGCTGGGATATTCCAATGGGTAGCTACATACCACAGCTCCTACACAAGATTGGAAGGGTGGACCACAGAAACCATGTGGAAACCACACATTATAGCTTGTTTTGATGGTCCTTTTCTTAAGCTAAGAACAGCACTATCCTTCTGAAGGTACAACACAGATCAGGTGAGGGAGAAGGGTCTCTTAGGCAGGCTCCCATTTAACATGAGAATTATTTTTGTACATCCTAAGTTGTCACACAGCAGCTGCCTTTTAACCTTGAGAATCTGCTGTTCTACCTAAATCAGATCACGAGATTTGAACATGTTAGTGCGAAAACACGTGAAAAATTTTCAGCAGAGTAACTTCAAGGTCCTTGTGGCAAAATGACTCACACAGACACGATCAGCTTCTTCCATTATATTTACAAGTATATAGAGTGACAGAATGACACCATGAATTCATCAGAATAGCAAGAATACATCTTCTCTGTACAGTCCACATATATACACTTACGCCTCTAGCTTTGTCCAATCAGCACAGATGTTGCATCATCTTTGAGCCAGCCCTCCTGAGTCACAGTGACTCAGCATTTTGACACACTTGAACATCATGGCTGCTCATTAGGACATTTATTCTGCTCAGGCCTGTAAATTTTATACTCTGAGAGAACATACAAGGCCTTGGGCATAAAATGGATTGCAGGTCAGTGACTAAACCATTATCCCACATCAGTAAGCTTTTAAATTTATTACTTCTGGTTATTCTGGGAAATCAATGCTATGGAATATAAAGAACACAAGATAGAAAGATAAAAACAAAAAAAAACTACTGTATTTGAATACTTCTGCATGAAAACTCCTATTTTCAAATATTTTAAGAAATTTTGGAGAAATATCTTATGTACAAGACATGAAAGATGTGGGGCAGATTTATGTGATGATGCTCATAAGATCAGTTGGAAATATCACAGCTTCCTCTTCTGCTGAACTATGTTGGAAACCCCAGTGCATCTGATAAATTCAAGCTGTAATCTTGCATCCACTAATCTGATGGTAAGCCCCGTGGGACCTACTTCTTCAAATAAATATATAGGATTACATTAAAAGGTTGACACTATTTGTTTATTACATTTATATCCTGCCTTTCCATTAAAAAATAGTGCTCAAGATAACTTACAAACTTCTTAAAAACAGGCAAACTCACATTTAACTTTTTTTAAAAAAATCATGAAATCAAGGAAACAAACTTCACTATTAAAATCAAGAAAATACATTAAATCGTTAAAATCAACAAAGAACCCAGTTATAAAAAACACAAAGCAGATTAATCCTTATACGACAGTCTAAAAAGATGTGTTTTTACTCTGTTCTTAAAATCCATCAAACTGAAAAGAGATAGAAATTTTGAGTAGACTGCACGCCACAGTCTGGGAGCCACATACAAAGAGTTAAAGACCAAGCTTATACAGTTGGTTCCTATAGGTATTACGTTAAAGTATATGTCACGGTGGAAGATACTCAGTGTAGTGTAGTGGGCAGAGTAACAGATAGGACTCAATAACCCTGGGTTTGAATTCTTCCTCAGCCACATCTGAAATATCTCACTTATTCTGAAGGCCCTGTTAGTACACACACATAACAAATGTCATAGAAAACCTTTACTATATAACATACCTATTAATTTCCAGCACTTTTCTTGGAAAAAATAAAATTATGCACTTAGAACTAGAAACAATCTGGCAGCCCGAACTTCGCTGCCCATTGATTAATTGCCCCCAACTTGCCATTTTTATTGCCCTCTCCATAAAGATCTTTAGAAGATCTGTAAAAACTGAACGATTTAAAGAGGTCTCTGGCACCATCCTAGACTAATTTTTGAGACCTGTGTGCTATTGTGGTTTACTTTTTATTATACGTGTTGTCTATTATGGTTTATAAAATTTGGTTCACTAAACCCACCAACCGGGAGGCAATTCTCGGTCACGTTTCTGTTTAGTCTGTGGTACTACTCTTTTACTATTTCAGTTGTATGTTCTGCTTAATTATGGAAACCACCTTGAGTAGTGTTTCACTAAGTCAGATGGTCTAGAAGCTCAATCAAATAAATGAATTAATCTGTTATTTGCACACAGGGCATCCCCAGAACAAAAGCTTCGATCTGGATTACTTATCCTACCCTGCTATTCAGAAATTCACACAGATCAAATAGAAGCTTCTTCATGTTGGCTGGAGGATCGTGGGAGTTGTAATCCAAAAAATCATTTTTCCTAGGCTCTGCCAGACTGACCTATTCTTCTGCTGAGGTTCAGCTTAGCCTAGGGCCCCCAGTGCTGTTGTTATTCTCTCGTTAATCTACACTCAAGTACTCTCCACATTTCCAGAACTTACAAAACGGTGCCTTCCCCTCAAGCATCCCAGTAAGAACATTAAGCCAAGATAGGCATGAACCTCAAGTGTTCCCAGTGTGGAAATTTATTTATACAAGGCATGGAAAAGATGTAGCCACTGCTTTATTAAGCAATCTTAGGAGGGTGTTGCTTAATTATCTTGGCTAAAACCCAAAGGCTATTTACCCAACAGCACACTGGCTTTGAGGAGGTCCTCAAGATGTGTGCAAATGTCCACATACATTGACATTTGATACACAGTTTGCTTTGGTCTTATTCAGCTTTCTTCAACCCCAGTGCTTCTAACCCCAGTTGCATCTGTGCTCAGCACCCTATTGGGACCACCCTTTGTGCGAAAGCTGATGTACTGAATTTTCTTAGACAAACAGATGGAGTAAATCTGTGTGTGTTCCTTGAGCTTTAACTCTTTCGAACGGCCACCGCTGGGGATTATTTATGCCAACCACTGTTCAAATGTTACACAAGCACAGAGAAATGAAATACAGGTGTGTGTGAAAAGGCATTAGTTAAATTAAGTACCGTAGTTCCCTGCTCTTCCAAATGATGTACTAAATAAGTGTAAACCAAATTAGTCAGAACTCTCAGTAAAACGTGGGCCATCCCAGGACATTTTGGACAGGGTCTTTCAAAAACACAACCCAACTTGCAGTTAAATCTTACTTCACCTGTGAGCCCTCCAGCACACCTGGGAGCGCCAAGGGAAGCCTAGCAGGTACAGGACAAACCACCTGGTGCATGTAGCCCTAGAAGACTTTGAAAATCCTGTGTCCCCCCCACCCTGCCTGTTTGCCTGCCACCCACCAGCATCTGCTAGCTAAGGCAGCCACCTCATTCCACTTAACAGTAAGGCTAGCCCTGGTAAGTCACCAGAGAGAAACTAGAATTTGCCAGAAGCAAGAGGGTGTTACAAAAATCTAGTTTTAAGTCTTAATGACTGAAATCTTGTTGGATATTTAGATGTATACAAGAGAGGTCACAGTAGGCTGGATCAATCACATCCAATCAGGCCCCTAATCAACATGCAAACAAAGATTTCAATTAGTCATGGCAACTTCCACCTTTTCTTTTTCGGTGCCCATAAATAGCCAGTAAAACCTTGGGCCTCCATGCAGATTTCTATAGACATTATATCAGCCCTTTTCCAGCCTCACTAAAGTGGATGTGCCAGGAGAAGTTTGAACTCTTTGAAATACTACCAGATCCACTCAGTTAAGGAGAAACGTCCAAGAAGCAAAGCTTAACACAAGGTCAGAACCTAACACAACTTATTTCCCGTGATCCTTTGTGGCAATACTTTATGCAGTCAAACAGCTTGTAATGAAAAACAGATGAAAGCCTGACAATTTCAACCATCGTGCAAACATTAAAAGGCCATAACAAAAGTTACCCCAAGGTGTAGAAATCACGTCATCCAAATTGTCAGGCTTTGCAGGGTGTCCCAATTCTTGATTATTTCCCCGGCCTGATTAATATACTGGCTGAGAACATACAAAACTCCCTCTCAGCGAGTCAGATTCTGAGGTGAACTTTCTTTTAGCTACCACAATCAAGGAAGGCCAAAAAAGGAAGGAAGCGGAAAAGATCATCAAGTGTAATGATGTGTGACTGCAGACTAAGACCAAGGTCGTCCCCACACTTGTATTTCCGATCACCAAATATGGGTGTGAAGACTGGACAGTAAAGAAAGTAGA